AAGTTTTTCTGCCACGGACATACCAGTGCCGATGCTAAACTTGACCTTCTAGGACTTGCATTCTCCAGGGGGCATGACGAGGCGGACGAGGAACGACGAGGGAGCGAGGGAGAGAGGAGAGGAGAAATCAGGATAGGCAGGGACGAACACGGATGAAGAGGAGGAGAGGGAGGAAGAGGGAGGCGAGAGAATGAGGGAGGGGGAGGGGGAAGGGGGACGGGCAGGGAGAAGGGAGGAGGAAGGGGATGAAGAAAAGTGGGGGGATATTTAAAGTGAAAAGACATATCAGGGAGGGGGAGAAGGAAAATTGGAAGAGAGCAACAATTAGGAGGACAACGAGGAGAAGCAACACGGAGGAGGAGGACGAGCTGCAACAATTGGAGGAGTAGCACAGCGGGTCCTCCTTGTCGACGCGGGCCCTCCAGTGGATGGAATCCAGCGAGTTCATGGTCCGGCTATCCTGGGGGCCCCCCCGCTGCGACCCTCCTCGGGGACATTTCAGGCCCGACCTCGTCGTTTCTTCTCCGCTACTGCTGTAATCGGTTGCCGTTCGATGTGTCTTTCGTCGTTTGCCGTCGTCGGGCAGAGATGGCCACCTGGACGTGGGAGGAGCGATCCCAGGCAATCTCCGAGAACTCGTTGACCGACGGCACAAATGGGAACGCGACAGCGAGGAGTTAAGTAAGCACAACAATTATGTCGTACCAAGCATCAAACAACACGTTAACCAACGCACGCCCCGAACACTGCTTTGGCATGGTGGAAATGCGATATATGGTTACTGTACAAATATGCGGTGTTGGTTGTGCCGTGTTAGTTGTGCGATGCGTGTTATGTGTCACAAGCTATGCTGAGCAAGACACGTGATTACTACAGGCCATCTACGTTATGTGACGTGCGCTACATGCTAGGAGCTGTGGTGTGTAAACTATGTGACGTAAGATCTGACGTGCACGCTATGAGGTGTTGGCTATACGGTGTAAGCTGCATTGTCTGAGATATGTGCTGTGAGCGACGTGGCGCAATATCACCAATTATTTGCTTTGCACAACCCATGCGGCCGCTATTGCGGTGACTACTTGGCACTGGCTGGAGCATGTCTTCGGCTGCGCTTGCATTCGTCGCGCGCAAAGAGGCGAGCTGGTTAGGCACAATCGATGCGGCCGCGATGGCGCTTACCGATGAGAACTTCCCAACGCGTCTCAACAGCCGCGCTGGCGCGAGGTAAATTGACGGCGGGTCGCTGACTCGGGCGGGCGCGGTATCATGATGACGTCGGCAACGAAAGCAACGATGATGACAGTACCGCTGGTGGTGGCGATGATGACGATGACGACGGCAAGGCGAACGACGGCGCCTATGCTGGTGACGACAATGGCGATGGTGATGTCCGTGTGTCGGTGGTGGCGGTGATTGACAGATGGTGGCGGCCATGGCGGCAATTCACGATAAAGATGACGGCGGTTACGCGGTGGCGCTGAAGAGGGTGATGGTGAGGAAGTGCGCGCGCAGAAATGCAAGAAACCTGGCAGATGTTCGTTGGACACGCCGCTTGGAGTTCTCTCTGTCTCTGAAGAGCTCCATTTGAAGCTGCTTGGAAAATCATATAATTGGCAAGATATCGACACGCGCGCGTGGCGGCGAATGCGCGTGGCCCGCCCCGCATTGTACTATTCGATACCGCACTGGCCTAAGTTTCGATCAGCGCAGGTGCACCGCGCGGCGAGGTGATATGACCATGCGAACTCATGTGGCTAGCCGGTGTCAGTAAGTGGTAAGTGCGCGCGGGCAAAGTATCTGCAATACCTGTCATGATAAGCCAGATCAGAGTTTCAAGGTTGTTACGCGGATGTGCCTGCAACGCTCGTGTGTTTGGTTGGATTTCGACATGTGCGCGCGTGTGGACTTCGTCCACTTCACGCGAGACTGAACAGTCGGCTTTTGAGACGAACGACTGCGCCCGCATGAGAGGACGAGGGGGGATCCATTCCCGCATGGGGCTGGGATGGATCTGGACAACTGGAGGGGCCCCAGGACCCCAGGACACACAAATAAATACACACAAACAAAAATCTCCCCCAGAATTTCCCATATGTTCTGGTTTTTGTCTTCCCCCCCACTTCCCATAGTTTCCCATACTTCTGGGGAAATCGAGGATTCATTGTGTCTCTGTGTGTGTTTTTTCCCTTCCTGAACAACGAACGACAGATGCGGCAGAACCGCACGCAGACTGCACGGTCCCAGGGGGCAGCGAAAAGCCCATAGGGGGGCCGACGGGGCGCCCATGGGGGCGCCTACGAGCGGGCACCGGGCGCCCACGAGGCGACACCTCGGAAGCCAACCCAGCGCACGGGGCGCCCACGGGGCGGCCAGCCACAGGAGGGCACGGGCTCCAACACCTTCAGAAAGGCAGGCAAAAGAAACCCAAGTGCAAGCACCGCTGGGAGAAAATCACCTTTCCGGGGCTCTTGGGGTGCCCCGGTGGCCACGGCCGGATCAGCCTCGAAACTCTTGCCGGACTGGCACCCAGGGACGTGCCAAGCGCTAAACTTTGAGGCCAGGACACTTGCCTTCGCCTCGCCAGCGTGCCCAGGGGAGGGCAGAGAGGGCGGGCGGGCCATCTCGCGAGGCTCCGAAGGCCTCTGCCCTTCGGAGAAGCTCTCTGAGCCTTCTCCGAAGGACGGCTTCTTGACAGGGCCGGGGGACTTCCGAGAGGCCCCGCCGCCCTAGGAGAAGGCCCGCCCGCTCTCGCTTCCGCCGGAGGCGCCCCGCCGGCGGTCTTCGCTCTCACAAGGGCTCGGTCACTGCCGTGTGCTCCCCTGGTTTGGGCGTCTGTCGGCTACACGTAAGAGTGACCCTGGGTAAGAGTGACCTTTGGTGCGCGGCTTTGGGGGGGCCGCGGGGGGGCCGAATCCAGGCGCGCTAGCCGCTGCCACCGCTTCGTTTTCGGCCATCTGGGGGCCCATCAGTGCCCGCGCTAAAGGTCACTCCGGCGAAAGGTCACTCTTACGTCTAGTCGAGTCTGGAGGCGCGTGTCAGGACGCCTCAGCATGCAAACTCGTGCCCCGGGGCGGGGGCGAGAGCTCTGGAGGCCCCCGTCAAGAGCGGGCGCCTTCCCCGAGGTACCCGCCGCAATCTTACAACCCCCTTGGCCTTGGGGGACTTTGTGGTCGCGGTGGTCACTTTTGTTCGTTCATTCCTCGTCCTTCTCCTCTTCCTCCTCCTACTCCTCCCCCTACTCCTCGTCCCCCTCCCCCCAGCCTCCTTCCACGTCCCCCTCCTCCTCGTCCTCCTCAACCTCCTCCGCCTCCTCCTCCTGGCCCTCCCTCGAACCATGTCAGTCGAGGATGGAGAGAAGATAAACTCTGGTTTGGGCTCGGGTTAAGGAGCGCACCCGTACTTCAATCGGCGGACTGCCCTGGTGCAGAACAAACAGAGAGCAGATGGCGAAATATATGATATGTTTCAGGGCGTGGCCGCGGCGTATACAGATGGGTTGGCAAGACGTATCCAATCAATATACCCTCTTCCCATTTGCTGAATCGCACCCGACCCGGTGGTTGGGCACCGCGCACTCGGTGCCGCCAAATTGTACCAAGCAGTGCGCTGCTCAACCCCCAGGCTTTTCACTTCATGCTTTCCCATATACTTTTCAGACGCCTCCTACGGGGCGGGGGGTTGCACCACACTGTGGAGACTGGGGGCAGGAAGGACACAAACAGACAGACCGACACCCGCGGGGAGCAGGAAGTCACTCCGATGACCCAGCGCCGCCCCATGACCGACACAACCACCGCCAAGCTTGGGCGTCCGACAGGCCCGCGACTTGCAAAGCTTCAGCGCCATAAACTTCCGTGCCGAACGCGGGCCGCTGGGCCCCGAAAAACCGGGGCCGCGGATCCCGCAAAACTATCACCGAGACCAGGATTCCTCTTAAACTTGGCGGCGCGCAGACGGGGGTAGGCGGAGGGGGGAAAGCTCCTTAGAAGGAGGCTGCTTCTTAGAAGGCGCCGTGATTGCCTGAAATCTATAGACTGTATAGAGAAGGCCCGCGCCTTCTACGAAGCAGAGGTGCTTCTAAGAAGCCTTCCCCCCTCCCCCTACCCCACTCTGCGCGTGGCAGATCCTCCTAAACGACCCCCTTGGTGTCCCAGTGGGATGAGGAGGAGGAGGAGGAGAAGGAGGAGGAGGAGGAGGGGAAGGGGGAGGAGGAGGAGGAGGAGGAGGAGGAGGAGGAGGAGGAGGAGGAGGAGGAGGACGAGGAGGAGGAGTGGGAGGGGCCCGCGTCGCAGCACGAGGAGGAGGAGGCGGTGGCGGGAGGCTCGAAGCTCGACGCGAGGGAGGGCCGGGCTCTGGTCACGGCCCTGAAGGGGTTTGCCGGGCCAGCGGGGCGCGCCCACATCACCCAAGAGACCCCGGAATCGAATCGATAATTCGGACCAGCGATCGACATGGACGGGACTGGAAGGAATTGGCAACCAAGTCGACTGAAACTGAATCGGCGGGAATCGACAAACTAGTAAAGCCTCCGTAACAATACCTGAACCCACAGTGGAACCCGAACAAAAGCGAATTGGTATCGGAGTGGACATCGACCCGAATCGAATCGGAGGAGTCGAAGTGGCCTCTCTCACTAGAGGAACGGGCAACTACATAAACATGCGTTGTTGGAGCTCCGCGCGGGTTTCCGTCGCTGGACCCCCGTCCTTGGCGCGCGGAGCGCGCCAGAGACGGCGTCGAAGGCGCGGCCAGGGGGGCCTAGCGCCGATCCCAAGAAATCAAATCCGCGCGGACCTCCGAATATTTACGTACATGTCCGCAACGACAACGATAACGATGGCGATGCCATCGATGTTGTTCGTATCGTTGTCGATGTTGTCGTCGCTGTGATCGTTGTTGTTGTTATCGTTGTTATCGTTGTTGCATCCGCGGGGGACCTTGTCTGTCCCGTCGCGGACCTATCCGCGTCGAATCCGTGTCGAATCCGTGTCGAATCCATGACGGCCTCGTCGGATCCGTGTCGAATCCGTGTCGAATCCGCGTCGAATCCGCACCCGATCCGCTTCGAGTCCGCATCGAGCCCGCGTCGGGCACAAGCAAAGACACCAATTTGGGGGACAGGCGAGGTCCCCCGAAGATGCAACGTAAAACATGGAGCCTTCCCAAGAGACCCCAAGGAACATCCCTGAGGACTCGGGCCCACGTCAGCGTCGTCGTCGTCGCCGCCGCCACCGCCGCCGTCGTTGTCGACGTCCCCCCTTCAAGGTCGGCGGCGCCTGCCGTAAGGCCTTCGAAATAGGTAAGGGAAGTCGGCCACATCTATCCGCACAGTCAACCCGTATAGTAAGGATGCGCGATGAGGATACAAGGACCCTGGAGGCCCATTCCGAAGCTTCTCGAGCGGGGCGCGGCCAGCGAAAGTGGCCACGGATGGACCGAGGAGGCAAGAATGCAAGGGCA